TGTGTGTGTGTGTGTGTGTGTGTGTGTGTGTGTGTGTGTGTCACGCTGCAGGAGGAAGCTTCCTCTGCAGCTGTGGGCTGCACACAGGTGCAGCAGGTGCTAAATATTTTAAATAATTTATTTTAAATAAAAATTCCATGCCAATCGTGTGGCTCATTCAGCAATCAGCCAATTGTGTGTCATGTCCAATCTTACTTTGAAAAACCAACCGTGAAGTAGCGAGGGACTACTGTACTTGCTTAAATGAGACAAGTCGTTTCATATCTAAAGCACCTATAGCCTTGTAAATATATAAACATAACTGCATATGACCATGGAAACGGACAACAAGAAGGCAGCAAAGTGAATCTGATGCATTAACTTGACACTTGTCGATGTAACCTATCAAAGCTGTTCATGGAATAAAAGGACAAAAGTGGGAAACCTACACATTTGAGGGCTGGCGAATGAGGTCGGAGATTTGTTTGGAGAGCTGATGGGAGCTGCGCACCATCATGCTGTGCAGAGTTGCCGGATGCTGAGGGATGTTGATCATGATGGAACCCACTTTGAAGACGGCGGCGTTGTTGGTCTTCAGTCCCCTCTGGGCGCTGTACAGAGCCTGGGACTTGGCGATGGTACATTTGACAACCGTTCTGAAACAGAGCGTGAACACGAATGAGCAACGGGCCTCAAAGTCTTACTCCTGACATGACGCACACGTGGATGAAGGTGAAATTACTGACAGGACACCAAATGGTGGAATATCATGCAGATTCATGATGCACTCCTTGTTTGGAGGGAAAATGAGTAGAATAAGCATATATGACAAATATGTGATTTTTATGATAATTAATGGCTACGGTACATATACAAACCAAAAAAAAATTTGATTTGGAATATATTTTTTCAACAGATACTGTTTAAAGGTAAAAGCAGCTGAGAAGTTAAACAAAAATATGCCGAGATAAAGACAAAACTAAAATATTGATATAAAATATTATTTTAGTAATTTATTTTTCTAAAATGAGATAATTGGTAGCTTTAACTCCTCAAAAACATTAATATTTTACTGCTCTTTGTCAAACATGATATTAAGTCAAATTGAGAAGCAAAAAGTTTTAACAAAATTCTTGAAATGGATCCAACTAGTTTCTTATATTTTCCAGGAAAGTTTAACCCACTTCCTAAAAATAAAATGAAAAATCCACGCATTATTAAATGTCAAATAATGAAAGGATCAGCTTTTCTGTATCTAATAATGAACAACTCAAGTGGTGACTGGGATAAATGAAAGATGTTCACACAGGACAGTTGTGTTTTTGATTCACTGACGTATGAGAGCGCTAAGAGGCAGCAACAACATACAGAAACTCTTGTTTAGCAGTGCTGGTTGGAGATGTTGGAAAATCCTCCAGTCTATGCAATTAGGTAGAAGAGAAAGCAGAGCAAAGGAAGAAAGAAGAGCAGAATTTATCCACCATTTAGACACCTTCCTTGTTTTAAAGCAGTTCTTCACAGCAGGGAAATCAATGGAATGAACAGTTAGATGTGCTGATGCTTGTTTTCTTATGATCTATGATCACACCCCCTCAGTCCTCACTTCTGCTCCTTGTACTATTACAAACAAATGAGATAAATGTAAAGGGCTTTGTAAATAAAGGTGTAAATGTTTAATTTGATCCTCTGAGTGGGGGTGCAGAAGTTAAGGTTTGGAAACTATGTTTTTTTTTTTTTTACATCAGATGACATTCCTGATGCAACCTTGGCTCAAACCCACAGCCTCAGGATAACAAGGCAGTGGCACTCCCAAATAAAGGTTCAAATGGTTACTTCATTTATTATTTTCCAGCCATCCAATATCTTTACCCGCTTCTTCATTTCAGGATTGCAGGGGTTTGCTTGTTTTGTGACATCACTATGATTTACTATCAGTTAGGGCTGGGCGATATATCGATATTTTAAAAATAAAGAGATAATTTCATACGCAATATAAGATGGGACTATATCGTCTATATAAATATTTCTACGTTAAGTTATAATTAAGATTTAAAAATCTGTGTAGTTCTTTTTCTCCTCGTCTGCGCCACCAACTGCATGTGGCCCCTTCTTCTCCCTCACTGAATACAAACCCAGCCCCTCACCAGAGCTCGCGCTCCCCCTCTTCCTGCTTCTCTTTCGTCGTCTACTAAAGAGTTAGCCGAAATGTTTCACAGTTGAGACTGGGACTGTCTCTTTAGCGATATAAGCCACTGCTTTATTAATGTCACACTACCTCTCACTGTTCCCTCTCACAAGGCACAGCACGGCTAAATGAGTTTTGTACCGTTTGTCTCAGGGAAGGAGGCTGAAGTCAGAGCTGCAGTTCAAACATAATGTGAAGGCGGCGCAGCTGAAGAGGATTATTATTTAACATATGTAACTAAATATCTAAAAATAAACTAATAATATGTAAATACTTAATTTTTTAGACAAAAAATTTGTAGTTACAGCTGTTTGTTAATAAATGTGCCTGTGTGACAATTGGAACAAAGCTTTGACTCAGAAATATAATGATTTATTACTTTATGGAAAGAAAAAACAATTGAGATATACATCGTATATCGCCATTCATCGTAAAATATTGAAATATTAATTTTGGTCCATATCGCCTACTATCAGTGTCATTTTATTTGATCCTGTGGTCTTTATTGATAAGCACTTTGATAACAGTTACTGTTTTAAATGTGCTAAATAAATAAATGTGACTTGACTATTAAGTAGTAATTTTAATAGTTAGAAAAATAAACCAAAAAGGAGACCTCCAACATCCAGTCTACATGTTTGACTTCAGTGTTTGTGGACTCATAAATATGTTTTGTAAGAAAAGGTTAGAGAAATGTTTATTAAAACGATCCTGGTCAAACCATCCGGCAGAGAAAATCTGGAGCAATAAAACTTATTGAATGGGCTTTCAACATTTTTATAGGTGTGACCTTTAAAAACCCACAAGGAAGTTTTATTTTATTCATACTATGGCCAATTCAAAAAATAAATTATAACTAAGTATCTTAAAATGTCACAGTTGTTGTACCTCAGCTGAGCGGACCTGTTTTAATATAGCAAAACTACAAGCAAATTACATTGTAATATTCTCACATTTTACATGAAAGACGATCAAAAGTTTTAACATAAATATAAAAAAAGAGTAATTAGAAGATTTTAACATACTGAATATCAGGCGTTATGCCCTCCAGCAGAACAATGTTTACCCCTCCTATGTGGGCAGAGGCGCACGTCTCTGTCATTTTCTGGTGAAGGATATCTGCAGAGCACACAAACAAAAACAATCTAAACAAACTTCCCTAAACAAACTCTTTATTGCAGCAATGCATCAACGTATTTGATATAAACACTATTATTTAAGACACATCAGAAAAACAACATTCAGAGTCTAAATCTCACCTTTCATCTTCTCTTTCAGAGTGAAGCTACCATGGATCTTCTTCAGCTCTGCTTCCATGGTCAGCCCGCCGATGTCTGCCTCCAGGTGTGTGCGGTTCACCATGCCGATGCCAAACACTATGAGCGTGACGTGTTGAGGTTCAGAGCTCACCAGGCTGCGGCGCCTCCCGCCCACTCCCAGTGGCTTGTTGGGTGTGGTGGGTTCCTCCTGCTCGTTCTCAAAAATCACTTTACAGAGCGGCTCGGCGGGACGATGCCCACCTTCTGCAGACAAAAATGGCAGGAAAGAAGTCCAAATTATACAAAAGGCCAGCTTTGTAATACTGTTCACATATTTCCATACAAAGAAAAGAAAGCCAAGTTTAGACATGTAAAGTTAAATCATTATTTCCTTTTCCTTTGAGCCTCTTCTCTTTAAAACTAATTAACTCATCAAAGAAATGTGGAGTCAAAACAGTAAAGACAAATTCTACTTTGCTTAATCAACCGGTGCTTAAATATACAAAAGCTAATAACTACTGCAAATACACAAAGCCTTTAGATTAAAAGGGCAGAGATCTAGATAATATTAATAAACTATGACTGTGATTTTCTGTATCTTTATATCTGTGTCTAGTGAAACATTTTGAAGGAACAGAGTGGGAGGATAAAGTAGGAACAAGGCGTCTTTTTAGGCGTTATAGAAAAGTTCAGAAGGAAAACTATGGGTTCAGATGGAGATTAAAAAGGGGGAATAAAATATTTACATTGATATTAATATCGGTGCCACAGAAATAAAAGAAAGCTAGTGACACAGTCAAAGTAAAAGCTGAAGCAGAGTGGAAAGCTCGAGTGCGCTGGAAGCCGATTTCCACCTGAGAGGCAGTTCTCCGGGGAGCTTTTCTCCAGGATGCCAGTGGGATCAGAGATGAGGGAGTAGAAGTTGAGCAGCTTGTACATGTTCTGCCAACATTCTGCTGATGGTTCGCTCTGCTCCGACACTGTGATGGAGTCAGAGTCGTCCATCTGGATGGCCATGTGGTCGGCCACATCACGAGAGCCTTTCCTTGACACCTGAAGGCGTAACGCAGGGAGTCACATTATGAAACAAATGGAAATATAAAAAAATATGCATCACAGGGCTTAAGAGTAAATAAACAGCCTGGTTGACTTATTCATCCTTGTTTTCCTGCTGTTTACTGAAACACTACAGTTATGATGACGCAAGCTGTCACGACAGCTCCCAAAATACTTGAATAATCTCAGTAAGCAGGAAGAAACAGCTGCAAGCATTAAAACTCTTTTGATTTTTTTCCTAAAACAATCAAACTGGGATTCAAGTTAATGCTGTCTTTCTGAGAATTTCCTATTAACTGCTAGCTCCCTCTAGGGTTTCTGAGGAGAAAACATCAGCTTCAGAAGGAATTTAGTTATTTAAGGGGCTATGCTGACCCATCCTGACAGATATGGCTCCTTTCTTAAAAAAACATTTAACATTAATTGTTCCAGGTTGTAGACTGAGCCATGTCTATGAGATTCAATGAGAAGTTAGAAAGGGCTCATTTTATTTCTTGTTGTAGCTTTAACCACAAGAGGCCCAGGATACGGTGCTCTAACACAGTGATTCTCAAACTGGGGTCTCCAGACACTTGGGTGTCCGCAAAAAAAACAAACAAATCTACTTTACATCTACTTTATTCAAAATTTTCTAGGTGAGGGCCCCCCAGACCCCCCACCCACCCGCCATTTGTATTAATCGGTTTACAAACTAAGCCAGGTTACTTGGTCCGACTACTGCTGTTATGATTCTGTTCAGTTTTATGTAAAGAACTTTCTGTAATAATTTGAAGAAGTGGCAATACTTTTATGTTCATTAAGTTTTAAGGTGGTTTTTGACACTGTTAATTTTCTCTAAACTGTCATTTTTGGAAGGTGAAATAAATTTAAAAAAAAGTGTTAATGAAGTGTGTCTTGAATAAAAAAAACACCCCATGTTTAAAAGTATAAAAATTGTATTAACACTATTAAAGAACAAGTCTTAAGTAGGGGTGCACCAATAAATCCACCGATCGATTTATCGGCCCTGATTTCCTTAATTTTGGAAGATCGGAGATCAGCCGATAAGAGATATGAAATATGAAATATGAGAAAACAATTTATTTGTAGTTTTAACAACAATTGTCTAAACTTCATTTATATTTCTTTCAGAACACTACCTCATGGTCAGTTAAAACAAGTTTGTATTGTTTCTAGGATAAATGGAAAGTTGAAGGTGCATTGTGACCTTATAACGCCTGACAGTGTCGCTTATAAAAAAAATCGTATCAGCAGATCAGGCTTTTTATGGGGGCCGAGATGGTGTAGAGGCAGGGCAGCCGGCTTGGGACCCAAAAGTCCCAGGTTCGATCCCCAGTCACTGCACATCACGTGGCGTCTCTGGGCAGCACGTCTAATCCCCAAAATGTCCCCCGGGCGCTTTCAATAGCTGCCCACTGCATCACCTGGTGGTGGATGGGTTAAATGCAGAGACTAATTTCGCCATTGTATGGAAACATACAGTGCTGACATTGTGATGACATTATCATTATCATTATTATTTTTATTGTTTTTTTTTTTTTAGAAATCGGTGATCGGCCAGAAAACTGCAATTGGTGCACCCCTAGTCTTAAGTATTTACATTACACAAATATTTACATTGCATTAAAGAGACTAATTGAAGAAAATTATTTAATAAGGGGTCCCTGAACCCAAAACAGTTTGAGAACCCCTGCTCTAACAGCTTAAACTAAACATCTTTAATTGTTATTTATAACTTAAAAAACTATTGTTGCAACTCTGGATAAACAGCAGGTTACCTGAAGGAACATACGACCCAGTATCAGTAATCATATAGAATGCAATAAGTAGATCAATCAAATGTTCATAATCAGGTATTGGGAACATTAGACATTTCCTTGTAAATCAATTTAACTTGAATCATTAAATGATCCAGAGGGCTGAGCTCCAGTTCAAAGCATGCACATTTAAAAAACACTAATAAAGAGCTCCTCGGATGAAAGGAAGGGAAAACTCACACCCTGACCCTGGACACCTTGGTTCTAAACAGTCTGTACAGCAATGTTCTTTTAAAATAATTTTACTGAAAGATTTTAGGGCAGTTGTTAAATATATTACTTTATTTTATAAATTTTATATAGATTTTGCAGAAATAATTGCAATAATTGCGTTACCTTAGAGGTGCGTCTCTCTGAACGTCCAAGAGAACTTCGACCTCTTGGCTCCCGTCTCCCCAGCGTGTCCATGCTTGATGGGGGTCCATTAGGAGGTAAACCTCCACTTCCTGCTGCTCCTCCTGTGACTCCGCCTCCTCCCACACCTCTTTTGCTCTTCAGGGTTTGAGTTCCGCTGCGATTTGCTCCGTTCAAGCTTCCTCTGGAGCTGCGACTGAAGTCTGAGGACCTGATGTGGCGGTACGGCCGGGCCTTGAAAGTGGGCGTCGGGGAGGTGGAGCCGGCGGTGTAGCGGCTCAGTTTGATGTCGGTCTGCGTGGCCTTGATGTCGTCGATCATGGTGCTGAACTGGTGGATGAGGCGCACCAGGGCCATGTCGACGCGCTGGCTGATGGACTGGCAGGCAGTGGTGAAGTCGCAGTGGAACGTGTTGTAGTGACGGCGGTTGAGGTCATGGAAGGTGAGCGGAGCTGCGGTGGAACCCTGCGGAGCGCTGGTCGACTTCTCCATCACCACCGCGTTCACACTGAACGTCTCAATCAGCAGAGCTGGCTTGAACTCAAGTGGAGGGAGGTTCACCATGCCTTGTCTGTGTGAACAAAGAATTATAGTCGTGCCAAGAAAACAATCCAAAAGATACTTTTAAACAATAATTTCAGGGTAGCCCTACCTTCTGGACCGCTTGTTTTTGCGCTCTTTGGACGTATCAGAGTCAACGATGTCCGCTCTGAGACACTCCAGATTGCCAGAAAAAGACAAATGCTCTCCGAAATACATCTTGTAGCTAAGAGGAGTGGCATCTTGGGCCTGGATTCCAGTGTAGCTCAGTAAGGGTTTAAAAACCACCTGAGGAGATGAGAAAAGAGCACTTGATAAAACAGAATTTTGGAGAGGCTTATGAGCTTTGCAGTCTGGATTTTTTTTAAATTTCAAGATAAGAAATTCAAAGGCAGAGCAAAGTTGACCATAGTAACTTAAATCAGATAAAAACAAATGTAAAGTGCTTGTTTACCATCATTATGGAATGAAGACTATTACGGATGAGATTAGGCTGCTTTTAGTTTAACACAAAAATCAAATTATTTCCTTCAAATTGACTCAAATCATTCATCAAGGAGCAACACTGCTCGGATGATGAAAATTAAACTTAACAATCCTTAACAGAACAGGTAAAAGAAACTCAGATGTGTTGGTGGCACCTGAGCATCAGCCAGTTGAACAGCAGCCGGACACTGGTTTCCTTCCTCGATGTCCACAATGTCATCCTGGCTGGTGCTGTGTTGGGAGTGCTGGGAGTGGGTCCCATCCAGGGTGTTCTGGTCACTGGACAGCACTGTGTTGAAGTCAGATGCTGAGGGGATGGTGGGCAGGTTACACATCCCACCTGAGGGTGGACAGAGTGGGGATAGGCACAGTTTATAGATGAGACTTAACAAATTCAGTTGGTGGAAAATGAAGGTTTAAATCAAATTAAATTATAAAGGAGAAATTTATGTCCAATTTGAAAACGTTTTTTAACTCCAGCAGTTCATCTGCTACAGTCGTTAGCTCACACCTGGGTGAGCAGATAATAAAAAAATGTTAATTATCTCGAGTACAAATTTAGCTCCTACACATAAAATTGTGCCCGCAGGTACTCGGCTCAGCAGTAGCAAAAATATTTATCTTGTCAGTGATCGTAATGAGTGATTTCAAATAATTATTCTGCTATTCAGAGGAAATTAAACTATTTCACACAAAGTGGTTTGGAACTGTAAGGATGGGAGATAAAAAAGGAAAAGAGGGAAGGAATGCTGAGAGAGGTAACTAACTATGGTTTAACTGTGATCAAAATGGAAGAATCAGTGCAGGGACAACTTTAATTTTCAGCTCAAGAGCTGCAGGTTTGGTGTTTTATAACAGCCAATGCTAAAGAGTTAAAAAATAAAATAAAATTGGCTCAAACAAAAGTTTCATCTTGATCATAAAAGTAATGTTTTTGTTCTAAACAATCTATGAGAAGTAAGTTACAGATTTAAAAGCAGACAACGTGTCTGTTGGACTGGATTAGATTAGAAGGGGCTGCTCAGCTTCAACAATTAGAGTCATAATTATAAATGTTTTATAACAAGAGCTGTCAAAGACTTTTAAAACAATATACATTATTTGATCCTTTTAAAATGCATTTAATGAGGTGATCGCTGATCTGAACAATGAAATAATTGAAAATGATCAACTTTTGAAATTTGCTTGTTTTAAATTTGGATCAATTACATCAAAGCCACAAAGAAACAATAACACAATATGCACAGTGATTCACAACACAATGTGATTCTACAGTTAATCAATTGTAATTGCAAAACTGAAATGTGGCTACAAATAATATTCTTCTAAAATAAAAAAAAAAGGAAACTTTAACTTACAAAAAACACAAACATATCACCCGTTTCCTGTTCAGTTTAGGATTCTATTAAATGAGCATGTCACAAAATTACGACGAAGCTTTAGGGCCACGATAAGAAAAAAAAATTAAAAGCCATAAAATTACGAGAATAAAGTCGTACGAGACTTTTATTTTTTTTGTTGCAGCTCTCGGTTATTTTTATTTTTTCCACAAGTCGGATCTACGACGCGACCTGTCAGTCAATCCAGAAGGCGTGTCAGCAAACGAGCAATCCGAAGCTAAACACTCCTTACCTGCAGAGAGCTGCGCTGCAGCCCATCAGAGCGTACCACCTTACTGTAAGCAGGCTCAAAGTCCTGATACTGATAATTATCTGATGCTGATGTGCTAACAGATTAAGTATCTCCTTTCCAAAGTATAATTTAACAAGATGCTCAACATTCTTCATTTTACCACAGTTAAAATGCGGTAAACCCTTCTTTATCGTGTCGGAGTTCAGATAATATTACGACTCATTTAGCTTCAGATTGGTCATTTGCTGACACGCTTATTGGATCGACCGACTTGTCACGTTGTTGATCCGACTCGTGGAAAAAAACAAAAACCACGAGCTGCAAACAAACAAACAAAAAAAGTCTTGTACAACTTTATTCTTGTAATATTAAGGCTTTATTCGACTTTATTCTCATAATTTTATGGCTTTAATTTTTTTTTTTCTTAGCATGGCCCTAAAACTATCGTACAAAATAGCAGCTAGTGAACTAATTAAACAGCTAGAACAACAATCCCTGACCTCCTGCTGGGCTGTTAACTGGAAGAGGATGGTCGTGGTAGTTGTTGACCAATGAATCCAGAGAGTCTAGTAAAACAGTATCATATGAAAAGTGTTTTGGGGCGTAACACAAACTCAAATAACACAAAGAACAAAGGAGAAACTGCAAAGTTGCATTCTACCAAAACATTTAGTTAAAAGAGACAAAAACAAAACTAATATTGCCTCTAAATAGAGGAAGCCGGGGTTGTATTACCTGTCTGTAGGCTGTTGTGTTGCGAGTGGTTGAGCAGAGACTCGTGGGCTGCAGCTCCGGCTCGGTTACCCACGGCGTTGGACATCCAGTTGTAAAAACTGACGGAGGACGGCTCAGACAGCAGCGGGTGCTCGGTCAGCACGTCTGTCCCTGAGAAAGACGACGCATCACAAAACAACAAAAAACGGACCTTAGTAGTTACCTACATCTGTTTCCAGGCTTCTGTCACCGAAATGAATTTAAAACGGTCAAAGTTTAAACACGTAGCTGAAATGTCTCATTTCAATTAGTGTATTTTTGTCAGTCGTGTGGAATCAAACTTTACACATTACCTGGACTTTGCTTACTGAACAGTAGAGGTCACTATTGGAGCGTTATCTTTATAAAAAATGAAGTTTGTGCTGACGATCAGAAGCTTCCACACAGCAACACAACAGGAGTCACCTGTGCGAGTGAGGGAGCTGCTCTTGGCGGCAGCAGTTGCAGAAGGCTCGTTCCTCTGAGGCGTGCCCTCCAGCAGGTTGTGCAAACTCCGAAAGCTGCCCGTCAGATTGCTCAGGAGGCTCTCCTTCCTTGGGCTGTCCTTGGCCGGCACGCCTCCGCGGCTCACGTGGGCGGGTGAATCAGCTGCAGTGTCACCGCTGGTATAGCTCAGCGACTGGTAGGGATGCGAGCCCTGCGTATGACAAATGTGCAGATTGCTGAGAGGAGGTTACGCTCCCACACTGCCTCATTTTTCACAAGCTGCCACTGGCATTTCATTTATCTGACAGCGGAGATAAATTGTGTCTGGTAAAATCACGGAAATGACTGGATTCAAAATTGTTATAAAACTTTTTAGATAAAAGAGCTGAGCTGGCTAAAAATAACCACAAATAATATAAACAACAGAAGGGGAAAAAAAGAGTCATCTATCTGTCAGGTGTAAATTTATTTCCTCTGGCTTTCCAAAAATGGAGTCACCTTCATACCACATTTAACAGCACAGTCACTTCTCTGCACTGAATTTATTTTAGCAAAGTCATGTTTAGAGCTGTTAAAATATTTTTAAATATTTCATAACATCCATCGCTTATTTGCATTACCTTAAATAACAAATCCTTATTTTGCCCAACAGTTAAAAAATATTACAGTTCCTTAATATACTTAATTAAATATAATGTGGTAAATATTCCCATAAAAATATTTTATGACCAGTTTCAGGGGGGAAAAATAGCTTTACAGGACTTTTAGTGCAATCTGCAAAACATTCAATCTACTCCAAGAAGATTAAAAAATATTTGGTACTTACTAAATACTGTACTTCCACCTCTTCGCAAAACATTAAATAATTCTCACTAATAAATCCCCGTAAGTTGACAATATGTGTCTACAAAACAAGGATTTATGGCTGCTTTAGAAGAAACCTTTCAGTTTTCGATGACTCATTGGATGAGCAGGATTCATTTAAGTACTAACTGGTTTAAAACTACAAATAGTGAGTTTATATTAATATATCAAAATAGTAAAACACAAACTAGTTGTGAAGCATTAATGAAGGATGCAAAGACAAACGTATTACATTAACTTTTCTATAAAGCTTACTAGTAATTTGGAGTTTGCTTTGCAATAATTTAGTTTATGACAGAACCAGACATTAATTTGAAAGGTCTTTAGGAGCTTTACTTTGAAACACCAGGTAAAAACTTCTTATGATTGCCTTTAAAGTTTTGTAGAGTTTACACACTAAATTCTGAAACTTACATGTAATTCTCTCTGACTTAAAAATCCTAATCAAAACAAATTTGCTTAAATTATGCAAGATTTGAGAATAAAAAGAAGAGATTGTTGCAAAGGTTTTGGAAAGTAATGTAAAGTCCAAGTTTATGTGACCTTTATGAGCTACAGAGCTCCAAAGAGCGCTAGGTTTTCACTTTTGTTTTGCAAATAGCTCATTATTGCGTATGTAGATTTATGTATTTAATTGCAGGTTTTTTTTGCAGATTTAATTTACTATTTAGTATAATGTACTGATCCCAATCAAGCCACATGGTTTGATGTATTAATCTTGCATGGGTTTTTCAAAGCTGCGAGAGGAGCAGCAAACCCAAATGTTTAACAGGAACAAGAATAACTGTAGAACATTAAAGAGTGCCTTTGCAACATCTTTAAATATGTATTTTTTAATGGTGTGTAGTATAATTAGAAAACCTCCCACTCGTACCTTTATTCTGAGTGCGGACTCGTTGTGTGTGTGGGACTTTGACAGCTTCCTCATGATCTCCACTCCGCTGACAGGACCAGTGTTTGCTTCTTTAGGAGGAGGGCGACTGCAGGTTCCCTCCAGCAGCATGGTGTGTTCACTCACTGTGGCTTCACAATAACACAATCAAATAAAACTCCCAGAAAAAAAAAACACTGAGCATTATTTATATTAACTGGGAGTTTATTTCTAAGCAATAACTGACATGAGAAACTGTGCGTTCCCACCTGCGTCAAATTCAAACTCTGCTCCGTCAGCGCTGGTGTCACTCTGCAGAGCAGCTCCGTTGTCCAGTCCAACCGCATCTACCAGGTTCGGCTGAGGTTCTTTGGCCTTGATAAGCTGATTGGGCCCCATCAGACCAATAGCCTTGAAACCCTGAGTTACAACAATGAACTTCATCCACTGCCTGGCCAAAGCTACCAGACCCTTCTTCAACGTCACCAGGGCTGGGACTCCATCGTTCTGGGAATGGAGGAGGAGAAAAATGAGGTGATTTGAAACAGTGAGAAGGACCCAGTTATACTTTTGGCATAAAATAAAATCAGAGAGAGGGTCGACACTGACCATGGTGGCCTCCTCTATGATTGAATAGTCGGCTTGTTGCAGATAGCGGTGCAGGATGTTACAAAGCATACAAGAGGGGTTCTCGTGTAGGTAGCGGGCTCGCTTAGTCACACGGTTGTACTTGCTGCGGATCGGGAAGTGGATGCTCTTTTTCTGTTGGATATAAACAAATTTAAATTAAATATATATACAGTATATATATATATACACACAAAAAGGGCTAAAAAAAAACCTTGGAAATTTTTTTTAAAAAGCATGGGAGAACATCTCACCTCCAGAGCTTCGGTCATGATGCAGCCCATCACAGCACACACCCGCAGCGTCCCCTCCATGTCCAGTTTGCGGAGTGAAGACTTGAGCTGGTCAATGGGAACCAGCCAGGCTCCAATAGCAGGCGTTGCTGTACTGAGCAGATTCAACTGGCTAAATACACAAAAATAAGATATTTCATATTAACTATTGATCAATAAACACAAATCCATATTCATTTTTTTATTTTACAATTTCATTCCACTTCCTGTACCACATGCGATATGAATGACAATGATGAACCTTGAGTCCTTGAATTTTTATATGTTAATAGTAATTAAATAACCATACAGGCAAAAAAAAAAAAATCCAAGAACAAGACTATTAAAGTACGTTAGCTCATAGATTTGTATTAATTCCAGTTCAATGAGTGTATTTTTATTTGTGTGTGCGTGTGTGTTCATATCAGAGCACCTTGATATTGTTTGTGAAGCTGAGCGCGCATTCGTGGGAGCAGCAAAACTGAACCAGATTTCTCTGATGGTCAGCTTCATGCTGCTGGAATCAGGTGGAGGAGGCATGAGGGGGAGGTCTTTCTTTAGGTCATCTGACTCAACTCCTTCATCCTGAAAAAGCAGAAAGCAGAAGCGTTCAGCAATAAAACAAAAAAAAAAAAAGTAGCAGACACAGAGTCCATCACATTTGCTTCATATTTTATTACTACTGTAATAAGCTTCCATTAATCTGCTGGACATCTTCAGATTTTAATTTAAATTGATTTTGCTTTGATTTGCTTTACTTAGCTTGAAATCTTCATGGTATTTTGTGCTTCTACAGAAAAGTTCACACAGAACATCTGGAAATGCATGTAAGACATTTTTCTTGCTGCTGATGCAAAAAGAGTATTTTCTGTCTTCTACGAAATCTAACAAAATAATGTTGGCAGCGCAAACCTGAATCGATACCTTGAAAAAATGTAGTTAATCTATTAATAAATGCAGAAGATTAATGTTGTTTTCCATTTTTTAAGTCATTTCACACATTTTCCTGCATCTCACCTGGTCGTCTGAGTCGGTGTGCTCGTTGGCGTCAGAGTTGGGACTGATGGCATCGGGTGGCAGGTTGTCATCAGACATGTCAGTGCTGTAACCACTTCCTGTTTGAGAACCTGTCGAGCCATTGTTTTTTGACACTCCGGTTTTTGCTCCGGTATCTGAGCAGCCCATCACACCAAACGCATTGTAAAGAATGGCTCCAGACTGACGGCCACCTGTGGCACAAAACGTACCATATTCACAGAACTGCAAACTAAAGACCTCATGTTCAGAATCATCCTAAATGATACAGGTGTCTGGAATTATTCACCTTTAACTGTAAGGTTCTCTATACCACATTCAAACATGATCCAGCCCCACTTCTCGATAGTAGTGGCAGAGCGGCCCAAATCGGTTCCCCCTGTCTGGGTGTCAGTTTCATCCACCAGTGAAAGCTCCTCCATTTCCTCCAGACCAAACAGCACTTTGGATTTCTCAAAAGGAATAGCTGTGATGGCGAATGTGCCAGTGTCTACAGAAAGAGATCAAGCAGCTGTTAGAAAGCATCCTAACTTTAAACCCAAAGTTTGAACAATGACATGGTCAAACTTTGGACCCGACCTGTCCAGTCCAGGCCTCGAAGCTGGCTGTGGATCCGGTGGATGTTGAGCCTTGCAGCAATCTCTTTGCCTTTCTCGATTCCTGCATTGGAGCGCAACGAACCCGAAGACTGAGGCTGCATTTTGGTAGCCGATGCGTACTTCTCTAACATGACGGAGGGTCGGCCATGTTCGGTGGTGTTTGGAGTCTCCTCTACAATACCCCTGAAAGGAGGCAGGAGGAAATATGAGTTTTCAGCCTGAATCCCAACATGGCTGCTGTCACAAAATGGAGGATATTTAAAAATAACTTTTGTCTTTTTTTTTAACACTGGACAGTTTTTGGCAGTGATTGTGAGTTTAAAATAAAAGCACAAACACTTACGAAGTAGTGCCAAAGTCTCACATAACTTAAGTCTACGGTAGCTCCTTCATAAAATTTTAATCAAAACAGTCTCAATACAATATGTAATAGAGCATGCTTGTCCACCACAATAAAAAAATATGACAAGTTGTTGAGGCATTACCTATTCATCCTGAACTGGGTCGCTATCCTGTCGAAGCACAACGCGACCAGAGACACATGTGGGATGCACTTACTGGAGCAAGACGGTGACCCTTCCTCTACAGAGGCCTGAAGGAGGCAAAGATTCACCTACACAAAAAGAGACAATTAATTAAAGCAAAACATCACTGGAAAAAAACTAATACTTAAAAAATATGGGAAAATATGGCTGGCTACTTTTTTCCACAATAATACTTTTGAAAAATATTATGTTAATGGGCAAAAGCTTTAATTCAAAGTAAAATAAAAAAATAAAAAAACTTTTATTAAAACATTCTAAAAGAAGAGCTTATAAAGTTTATGATTCTTGGTTGTGGTCAGAGTCTAGTTTGAGGACTACTGTTGGACTCTGATTATTCTGGGTCACAGGTTTCACCTTAGGGATAGAGACGTTGGCTTGAAGGCCCTTGATTTTCACATTATCAGGTTTGACGGACAGCTCCGTTTGTCCATGAGCGGCGTTAAGCGGGCCAGGGGTCGTGCCCTCCGTCTTGGACAGCTTGTGCTCCTGCTTGCCCGTTTGGCTCTGCAAAAACCAGATCCAAAACAATTAGATGTACAAATCAATCAAAGGGAAATTAACTTTACTTTACTTTTAAAATTAGAATAGAGACAATTATTGTTTAGCTAGCTGTGTGTTGCTCTGTTCAGTGAGGAGGTGAACATACCGACTCGGTGACTGTGGACTTGCTGATTTGGTAGGCTTCATTAAGGACTTTACCATGCAGATCATCCAGAATGGCTGCTGGGTGCCGAATGCTGGCAAAGTGGACCATGGATTCAATGTATCTAAAACAAATGCAAAAGAACATTCAATACAGCTTTTATTTATATATTTATAAAGCTGATATCTCATCAAACTTCTAATACAAAATATAACCTCAGAAAACCACTGTGTGTTGCTATTTACCAAAAAGTCCAAACCCACCAAAACTAAAAAGGAGGAAAACTATCAAGATCTCTCTGGAAGAATTTTTAGCTGACAAACTTTTTATTTTTTTAGGAAATGAAATGAGGTTATTTTGTTTTCATTATACATCATTATGAGACACATGGAGAATAAAGACTGTGCTCTGGTAAGAGAGAGATTATGTAAGTAGAGATGCATTCTGGTGGTCCATCAGGATTATACTCTGAATAATTGTCAGGTGGATGAGAATGAATTAAAATGGCTTAAAGGAAAATCTTAACTTCAAGCTAAAAATAACCCTAAACTGTGAGAAAGGCTTAGCGGTAACAATCAGATTATTTTTCCAAAGATGCAGAAAGTTAGGACACATCGAAAACGTATTAATAAAAATCTCTGCAGAAAAACCGGATGCTACCTGTCCAGAGATTCAGCTACAAGAGGTGTGAGCACTACATTGATGGCCCCCTTCACTTCCACTATGGCAGTGGTTCTGGTCTGAGCCAGAGGTTGCTCCAGACTCCAGTCATCTGTTGTCGTGTCCTCGTCTGTGTTTTCCATAGCCCTTTTATCCAAGGGGGTGTATGGTGTACTGTGAGGGTCAAAAACAGGAGAAGCTGCTGTCTGAGTCTGGTTGTGGGAGGTTTATGTATCACTTGTGTACAACCCAGTACAATCAGGCGTGCAACAATATATCTGCTTCCATTTAGAGTGCAATTAATTTAAATATTATTTAAATTAAAAAAGCAGTTTATTTGAAAATCAATATATAGTAAGTTGTTAGGCTAGTTTAAATAGATTAACTATGCCCCATATTTTTTTCCCATAATTAATAGTTTTTAATAGTAGTTTTGTGTGGTTCTTTCACCTGTTGTTCTCCCCCATGAGTTGAATTCCTCGATCCAGTAGAGAGCTGGCTGAGAGTCCCTGCTTTATCACCTGTAAAGTAGAAGATAACGGTGTCTCAGCGTATATGGACAACTGAACCTTTACCCTGCAATAGTAAGGCAAAACATGTGAACTGAGCCAGAAAGCTAATGGCAATCAAAAAGAGAAGTTGATACCAGACCTTAAAGCTGGGGACAGACAGCTGGTCAAAAGAGGCGGAGCTCTCTTCACTTGTGGGCGTGTCCAGATCAAGAGGGCGATGCAGAGAAGATTTGGACGTCCTCTTATTTGTTGGCTGCTTGACAGACCAATTGGAAACCTGAAAAAGATCAAGTAAAACACTGGATTATGTAAACATTTTGATCCCATAAACAACAACTTTGTGTAGATGTAGTACAAGAGAACATACCTGGTAGTGGGCTAGATAGTTCTGGTAGCACGCCATGACGTGGGGCTGTCGAGTTACAGGGCCCGGTTCAGCAGTCTTCTCTGCCTCCACAGAGCTCTCCTCCTCCATGGCCAAGGCTGAAACGAAGGAGGCTTGGGAGGTGTGGCTGGCCAGAGGCTGGGGTGGCAGCGGGGGCAGTATTGGGGGAGGTGGCAGAGGACGGGGCTCGGTGATCAGCTCCCCGTTGAGAACATAGGTGAGGGGACCCTCAACGCTGTGATAGATCGAACTCCGGCTGGAAAAATAGTTCCTCAAATTAACACGAGTACATTTATATACAAAAATATTGATAAACCAATTAACCTAGCTGGAATAAACTGTTTTTTGTGGCACTGTTCAGCTTCACAACTTGTTAGTTTTCTCTTGTTTGCATTGTTCTATTTAATAATTTGGCCGACAAACAAGGACGAGGATGTCAGAACCGAGCCTCACATGTGCCATCTGAAGCTTTCATGAGACTGATTACTTGTTCTGGCTGCACTGATCTAAAAACATGCCGTAATCAATGTGAAAACAATTTACAATAATAGAAAAATGACGAGGTAGTTGGAGACCAAGAGTGAAATCAAATTTGTAAAACATTCCAGTGGTAAGTGGCTACCCGTGGATCCAAACTCTCATTTGCACCAACCCCTCCAAATCACGTCCATCTGTGCATGCATGATCCAGACGAAGTAATACATTAAAGCTGCAACGTGTTTAGCCTGGATAAAAGTTGCTTTTCGCAATGAAATTCACAACTTGAGAAAATTTAAGAAAAAAATGCATAACACAGTTAATGTATTCCTCCTCATTGTTCCATCAAGACAATTTACAGTAATTGAAACGTAGCCGGCGTGAGCCATGTGAGGTTATTTAATACAGTTGGTTAAAGCTCATTTTTAATTCAAATATGAACTTTTCGGTGAACCCTCGTCTTTCCAGTGTTTGTTTTTTGAAAGATAAAAGGTTTACTGAATATTTGCTACAACCTTTATTAACAAAGTCTAAGAAATACATCTTAGTACAGAAACACAATGTAGTATTTTTTTAATTGGTGAATTTTTCACAGTACTTAACATGTCAATTCTTTAGCCGGTCCTTAATTATAACTCTCCATGGTAAGATTTTGTCAGGTCTTTGTTAAAAAGATTCCTCTTCCTTCATGAAAAGTTTAAAATTTTATTATTAAATTCAAGGTATAATCCATCCCTTTTATCTCACTTTAGCCTTCTACAGAATTGAATATACACTCTATCACTCCTCAGAATATATTTTTCCTCACTAAGGAAAAACATCACAATCTTGTTAATTTATTTTTAATATCTGACCTGTAGTTCTCCATGTGGTACGGTGGCTGCTGCGGTTGCTGCCTCCTTTTCTTCTTGCGGCCTGGGTACGTCCCTGGTCCCTCATCGGCACTGCTGATTGGCTCAAACTCCTCAGTGGCAGAGAAGTAGGCCTCGCTGTCAGCCATGGACATGCTGGAGTCGGCAGAACGGTACTGATGGAAAGTGTTCGAGTCTGCCGACGGCGTGAAGGGAAACGAGCCGTAGCTTCTACGCTGACGAGGTGAATCCAGGACGTTCTCGTCACTGCGGGAAACCTCGCCGCTGAACTGCACGCTGCCTGCGAGCACTGGAGGTGGCTTGTCAGTGAAGACGGCAGCTGACAGGCTTTTGGTGCTGCCCAGCCGACTGGAGTGCACAGATGACTGACGCTTGAGGGGAGAGCAGAGGGGTGACCGTACCGAGGTGCGATCCTGGGAACTGTTGGGTGAGATGGGTGAGACCTCTGGGACTTCTCCCAATGTGCTGCAAAAAAAAAAATCAAGAACAAATGTAACCACTGGACTTGCATCATAATCAATGTCTGCCGCTGTTTTCAGCTCGTGTGGTGCAACTTGTAACTCACTCAATGTGGGTTCTGCCGTTCAGAAGGACCATACGCTCATCATGGCTTGGTGAGGGCGAGTCTCTTTCTCCAGCCAGCAGAGGCAAGGCAGCACTAGATGTGCTGTTTTCTTCAGAGGAGGAGGCAGAGCTGTGGGAGCGCTGGGGCACCTGGAGACTCAGGTGTTGCTGACCACGCCTCTCGGGCAGCTCAGGCGGCAAGCAAGGAGAATGTGTGTCCGTTTTGAGCCCGACAACCCTCCCTGGGAAAACATGGATATGAACATGGGCTTAATTTGAACAAAGTTTAACTAGACAAACCTTGAAAACAAAGGAACAATGAAAAAAGTTTGTAATAACTTCTAAATAGGAAAGAACAAGTAATTATTCCAAACAGGAAAGGCTTTTGGTGTTTTACTCGTGAATTACAAAATTGTGGACTGCAGTTAAATCTTTATTAAGCTTAAGATCCGCAGTAAAGCCGTCAAGCAACTCCAGAGGAAAGTCACTTCTGCAGATAATGTTAGGAGGTGCAGAGCACATCTTTACTAATGCGTACCATCCACTTTAGGAGTTTCTTTAATAATAATCCACTCCCCAGGCTGCAGCAGAGACTGGCCATAGCACATGTCCAACTCCGCGTTGGAAGAAGAGAACGCAGATGAGGACGAAGGCGTCAGCTCCTCCAGCTTGAAGTAGTCCAGACCCATGTTGGTGCCACCAAAGAACCTGCAGCCTCCCAGGCAGCCACAGCGATTCCTGCTTCGCTTGTTGCGAACGTTTGCCTCATCTGGCCACAGGAACCAGAGTCTGTGGAGAAGAGAGGACACTTGTGGAGTGAATGGAAATAGCTTGAAGCATCATCTATTAAGCAACCTTCATCCCATTTGTGTCTGCATTTTTCTCATTTACATGAAGATGAAAAGCATAACAATTTAAAAAAATAAACATTATTCACTGTCCTGATGCATGCTCAATAATCCAGGTAGAAAAATCCAAAAAAGTTCAATCTGGTCCTCTGGATATTCAAAAAAAACAAAAACAAAACAAAGCAAAAAAAATCTAGAAACGTTTCGTCTCTCATCCAAGACTGAGGAAGTCTCTTGGATGAGAGACGAAACGTTTCTAGATTTTTTTTGCTTTGTTTTGTTTTTGGTTTTTTTTGAATGTCCAGAGGACCAGATTGAACTTTTTTGGATTATTCACTGTGTTAAAAATAGTTCTAACATTAAGAGATTTTACTGTCGTATACAGTCGTTAACTGTAAATACCAGCTCATTTAGTTTTAAATATCTGCAGTAAGATATGAGCTGAACAGACTGCAGTCTGTGACTCAGCACAGAGGTGTGATAAAAGGACTGTCAGTTCTACTCTGAAATAACTTTCTGCATTTACACTTGAATGAAATGTGCTTGTATAATCACAGAGTATTTGCCTCAGGTGGAGGAGTTCAAGTATCTGGGCGTCTTGTTCACAGGTGATGGTAGGATGCGGATTGGGGCATCATAATCAGTAATGAGGACATTGCTTCGGTCTGTCATGATGAAGAGAGAGCTGTCAAAAGGCAAAGCTCTTGATTGACTGGTCTGTCAGTGTCTACGTTGCAATCCTCACCTATGAGGCTTGGATCACAACCAAAAGAATGAGATCCAGGATACAAACTGTCAAAATGGGCTTCCTTTGCAGGGTGGTTGGGCTCAGCCTTAGAGACAGGGTGAGGAGCTTCGTCATCCAAGGGGAGATCAGAGTAGAGCCGCTGCTCCGCCGCATCTAAAGGAGTCAGTTGAGTTGGTCCGGGCATCTGATTACGATGCCTCCTGGACGCCTCCCTTTAGATATTTTCAAGGCACGTCCCACTGGTAGGAGGCCCCGGGGAAGAGCCAGAAGTCACTGGAGGGATTGTATAACTTCTCTGGCCTGGGAACACCTCGGGATCCCCCAGAACGAGCTGAAAAGTGAAGCTGGAAAGAAGGATGTCTGGGGTTCTCCCCTGGACCTGTTGCCTCTGCGACCCGATTACAGATAAGCGGTAGAAAGTGGCTGGATGGATACCATAATTTCCGGTCTATAAGCTGCTACTTTTTTCACACACTTTGAACATTGTGGCTTATATAGTGCTGCGGCTAATTTATGGATTTTTTTAAAGGGCTAATGAACTTCATGCCACCAAACATTTAGCCTCGTCACACCCGTGCGCTCGCATAGCTGCTTAAAACACATCTCTCTTCTCTCGAAAAGGTAAAAAAAAAAAGAAGAAAAGATAATAATCTGACTAATGAAATTCGTGAACAGGTTACAGTTGAACCAATGAAACAAGGAGAAGAAAATATTGTGTGTGTTTGTGTGTGTGTGTGTGGGGGGGGTCTCCCCCCTTCTCATGAGGGGGTTACACTCCTGCATCAGCACAGTAACTTTTGCTCAAGTCTGACAGTGGATCCTGATGGTGGAGAAGGAGGACAGCACAAGTTTGCAAAAAAGGAAGCTGAAGATAGCGATCAATGACTTCCTGGTAGGCTACTATTTATTTATTTTTTTTTAACCAGCCCTGCTACAGGCACTGTTCAGAAAAACACATTTACTGTACATATTTGTGTATGTTACAGGTATGTATTTAATTAAAAGTTTAAAAAATAATATTCCTGTGTAAATATCTCATGTTACAATGTGGACACCTGCAGCTTATAAACAAGCGCAGCTTAGATATGTACAAAAAAATTGTTAATTTTTTTTATTCTGTGGGCGCAGCTTATATTCGGGTGCGCTCAATAGTCTGGAAATAACGATAATCACATAGGCCTTGATTAAACTCAATCAAGCCACAAAAAGCAGTCAAATTTAAAGATGTATTTAACAATCATAGTGACAAAAGGAAATAAAGAAGCAAATTTCAGCTATAAAAAAATATGTCCTAAGACCCAAAGAGCAAAAAGTAAAATAATAGATTAGTGTCTTTCACCTCTTGGTCTGAGTATCGTGTAGTTCCAAAAACTGCCTCTGGACTTCACATTTAGCTGGGTGGTCAGCAGCCAGGGCGATATCTGCTGTTATGAGGTTCAGCTTGACTGAACCCGCCTCCAGCCAGACAGAACGTCGCAGCAAGGGGGGCTGACCCAGACCTAATGGCTGACCTGGACCTTGACCCTGTCCAGCCAGCTGCAATCTGGCCGTCTCATTGTATTGCTGCTGTTCAATGTACTGTCGGATGTTCATGTCCTGCACCACGGCGCTGATGCCCTCTCCCACTGCCTGGTTGTGCAGGTTGCAGTTGGCCACACGGATAATACCCGTCTAAAGGGAGAAAAAAGTAAAATAAATAAAAAATCAGCACAAAAAAGTGTGAATTTGTTGATACTAAGCCAAACAATAAATTTAGAAAAAAGATGCAACAGTTTTGTCTGTGCTTGGGGCTAATTACCTTGACACTGGCAGCACAACCATGCTCCACAATAAAGATGTCGACTCCATCCATGGCCAGCCTTGTCATGGTGTACTTCAGCTCTTCTGATGTGCGACAATGCCCAGGCATAAAGCTCAGCTGAAAGACAAACACTGTTTAGAAACTTTTCAGTGCTTTCAGAACGCAAGCTCAAGTTCTGTCTTTACATTTTGCTCCACTGCCTGTAGCCTCAGCTGCTCAGTTGTCAGAAAATAATGAGGGCTCTCAGGCAGAGGTTTTAAAAATATCCTTATTAGTATTCCCATTTAAGCAAGACATCCTGTTTCTCTGACTTCTACTGAAGGTATCACTGTGGTGTGTATGGTTTTATGTATGTCAGCTGTGAGCTTTGTGGAGTTGTTTTCTGATTCTCAGACTGGAAAAAAGGTCCTTTCTGAGTCATACTTTCATTAGAAAACGGTTTTCTTTGGGCTTTGTTTAGTATTTGATCTCAGCTGAGCATTTCATTTCACACAAAACAGGTCTGTCCAACACTCAAATCTCACAAGAACAGCCTTCAGCTGTAATGATTTCATTTAGGAGTTTACAGTGAAATGTAGAAAAAGAGCTGCTACTTAAACCCAAGTCTGACAGCGACATCAGAAAGGGGTGAAAGTGTGCACAGCTCACACTTCATGTAGCGTTTCATGGTTTGGTGTCTGTTTGTACCTTGGCATCACAGATGCGACGATCAACACCATGTTGGCAGATAACAGAGGGCTTAGGTTGTTCCAGCTGGAACTCTCGAGACAAAACGTGGAAAATGAAAGACTCGCCCCACTCGATTATGCTCGCCACCTAACAGTCACAAAGCCACAGACTTTTAATAGTTAGAATAAAAAGTAATAAACAAATTTGAAAACATAAAAATCACAACACCCAGCATTGACAGCCTGAAGGAAGAACAATTATAAATTAAAGACATATTTTGAATCCACTGATTATCTTAATATGCATGAAGTAATCTCTATATTTCAAACTAAACAGATCCACATATTCACACATTACCTGGATAACAGAACCCACCTGAGGAACAGTGACCCTGCCAGTGAGCGCTCCAGCCTGCATGTCGATGAGCCATGCGTACTCCAGTGTATCACTTCCCAGAGGAAGGCCCTGAGCCGAGAACATAGCATGGGCTCTCATCTGAAGCCCAGACAGACTCAAGTGCCCATCTCTCAACACTCCATCCGCTGTAGGACGCTGAAGACAAAAGAAAGGAAAAACACGTTACCATTTGAAGAACACACACAAAATAAAATCAATCAATAAATCATTGTATCTATCTATGAAGGAAATGATTTCCTCAAAAGAAAGCTGTGACAATTTATAAAATCCCATCACGTGCAGCAGAAATGATTGTCAATTGAGGGAAATGGGTGACACCCAGTGTTTCCCCTACCATTATATAAGTGGGGCACCCTGTTCCGTCTACCGAACCCCCCCCCCCCCCCCCCCGTCACCCACCTGTCGACACTGATGCAACACTAAGCTAGCGGCTCACAACACAGGTGTGCTAGCTAAAAAGCTAAAGGCAGCCTCTTCCCTCATGCTGAACCCCCTCCCCCACTCGAAAACTGTCGGTACAAACAGTGCATTGAAGTTCAGGACATGTCTCTGCCCGTCTCTGCCCCCCCAGGTTGACAACAAAAATCACAGACGAGATGAACGCTCCATTTCTAGGGGAAACTCTGGACACAATTTTTTTTTTTTTTTCAGGAATTAGGAGATTATCCATGCTGCTGATCCTCTATTTATCTGTGCTGCTGATTATAATCCATGCTGCTGATCTCTTGCCTTTAAACTGCTGTATTCAGTCATGCTCATCTGCTCACTACAGACTCATGTTCGGGCTGTTGTTTACATTATAAGCTTTTAGTGTATCTATTAGATCCTTGTATACTGATTCTTTTTATGCTTAATATTTTTGGATGTAACTGGGACCCTGTGTAGACAATTTCGTTCCACCTCATGTACCACATGTGATGAGAATGACAATAAACCTTGAAGCTTGAGAACTTAATCCTCCTGTACAAAATGGAAAGACAATACTAAAAATGAGAAATATTGTGGGTATGCAACAGTTGGTTCAAAAATGTGGCTGCTTACTATACGTTTACTATCATGCTAAACATACTCAGGGTTTTCTTTAGTGTATTTTCTTCCCAATGAATCACCGTTTCAGGTTCAAATAAAAAAAAATAAAATGTTTGGCTTTTCTTGAGTAAACTAACATTTGATGTCACAGACTCTGGCTGATTTACTGTCGTCATTTTGCTGAAGATTTCAGAAACCATTTTTCTCCTCACGACTGCAACAATTGTTCTTACCGTTTAAAACTGTGTCTACATAATGTTTGAAGTGTTTGGAACCAAACAGCTGCGAAGTTGTGGATCTTACCTGGTAGTTGTCACTGACAAAGATGTGAATGGGGGACAAAATCATCTGCAGCATTGTCTCCTTGTAACCTTTCTTCATCTCAAAGCACAGTCGCTCCAAGAAGCCTGATGGGCCTTCAGGACCTTCACTGCTGCAGTGCTATAAACCCCAAAATGTCAAAAATGAGCTGTGCGATAAGTTATTGTCAAAAATATTTCAATTATGGAACACTAAACAATCTTGTTAGGCCTGATCTTATTTTATTATGTCTTTTTTAAACAAATTGTAAAAACAATTTTAAAGGAGTAATACATTTACCACTGGCAGTCGGCCATGGACTTTGTAAAGGTTGATGAGCACGGTGATGTCCCAGGGTCGAAGGTCAAGCGGATGGATGTTTGGTGCTTCCTTCTGATCACTGTCCTCCATTCCCAGAGGAGACCAACCGAGGCCAGAGGAGGTAGACGCCGACAGCACAGGGCTGGACACGGCCTCCTCAAAGTCTGTATACATATCATCCTCGCCAAAATAGTTTTCCTGTGGGGTTGATAGAAGTATGAGTTTAGAAATATTTTTAGATGTGTGGAATCGTTTAAAGTTTATTACTGAAGGACCTTGATGGAGATCAGGGCTCGCAGCAAGGGCCCATAGAGAAGAATTTGAGAATCCGGTGACATTTCCATCTCCACATGAAGTCTGTCAGGGGGCAGCTCTGATGGGTCAGTGGGAACCTGACTGTGGGAAGCTGAAGCAGAAGTGGAGGTGTAGGGTTGTGGGACACTGTGGGGTACAGAGGGGTGCTCTGGGGGCCTCAAAGCAGACAGCATGGACTCCTCCATCTCAGACACTGGATCACAATTCACAGAGAATACACATTATCTCACAAAAAGCAGCTCAAAACATGACAAAAATGACAGCAACAAGCCTAAAGCCTGACTCTTTCACACAGTCTTAAAACAGAGCTGAAGCTGTGAGCTCACATGACTGTTTGAGTTGCTCATCTGCCTTCTGGGGATAAATGGGATGCCAGGTGTAGTCAATGATGAGCAAGAAGTTTGGCACGCTCCAGCAATCCACCCAGCCAGCTCTGATGTAAAGATGACAAAGACGTACGCTCAGCACACAGTTCTAATGCTGCATCATCATTTCAAGTGGCTTTTTCAGTTCATCGCTTGCTTCATGATCCGTTCAAATGAAATGCAGTAAAGGGAGCTGGGAGCAAAAACGGGTCATGCTCAATTTCTCTGCAGCACCAAGTGTGCTGGTCCGGAAAGCATTTGATCATAACCTCACAGGAGGTGCAGGGGTCTCTCACAGCGGTGCATCAGTAGAATGGGGCTTAGGTTTTTATACTAAATCTGAATGTTGTTTCCAGGCACTGAATTCACACAATTCTTTGTAAACCTTCATTTAATTGGCTTCTTTAGATAGATAACTTTGCTAATTGGCATTTATAATGTATGTGAATGTTTCTGTTCAGTGCCCTGACATGACTTCTGTTGTGACTTGGCGCTTTATAAATAAACTGAACTGAACTTTATAGTGGCGCTTATAGTGCGATAGACAATCAAATAAATTTTGTCCTCTTAATAGGGGGTCTAAATTAGACCTAAACATATTTATCTAACCTGGGATTTATCTGGAATCCTGAGTAAATTAGGTTGCAAAGACAAACAGCTTTTTGAAGTAATTTTTGGAAGGCAAATATAAAGAGAGCCTAATAAAAAGAAGAGGCAGTTAGCAAAATTGCTGTAAAAATGTGGCAAAGGTACAACAGCCTGAGGCATATAAAAACAAATTGTAGTTATTAATGTTAGTATTAACATTGAAAATGTAATTATAGAGAAAACACAAATTATGAACTAATAAGATCTCACAGGCCTACTCTTCAACAAGACATCACCTCACAGCAAATCACAATCTGTTGAGCTTTGAAATAAAAAATAAAAAAATGAATGGAGCTCCTTTAGTTGGAACCTTTTTTTTTTTTCTTTTTTTTTTACTACTACATGTAATGTCAATTTATATTTTATAAAGAGAGAAAGAAAAATATTCTGGAATTACGCTCTAAAAAAAATCCTCAGACAAATTGAGAATGAGTTAATTGTCTAATGAAGTATGTTTAGGGAGTTATAAGATACATTTTGACTTTAGCCCTTAGATTTTGCCCTACTTCTCCATTCTAGAATAAACTTAAGGCCGTAAGAAAAATAAAGGCACATACAATGATTAGCAACTTCGCAAAGTTCAGTGTCAGAGAAAAGACTGAAGATTTTAACCTGTGAAGATCAACAGAACGCTAACAGCCAGCAGCCATTTAACACAGCTTCACTGAGAATTTAACACCAACTTTGTCTAAAAAGGTGAATATAATACAACATAACAATGCTCAAATCTTGGATAGCAAATTGTAGCTTACAGAGACCACATCAGGTCCAAAACCGATAAGAACATACATTAAACCAAACATAAACTCGCCTATACAACATCTTGTAATTAATTCCCTTTGAATAATAAAATCTCTACAAAACATATATTTAACATTGAGAAGTATTTTAGCCCTAAAATGTGTATCCTAGAAGTACTCCTAATGATTTCTGTTTAATTACTTTGAACAGCAGAAGCTGAGCACACATTTTGTTTCTACACTGCGACGTTCACTCTGCTGCTTGTGTGAGGTCCCATCAGTTCAGCAGAAGGTTCAACATAGAGGATGAGGATGGACTGCATTCAGATGAACAAATATGGACGGCTTGGATAGTGAGGAAGGAGCTGAAGAATCAGATCGCTAAAAAACATTTTAAACAACAAGTCTGAAGATCCTCTGAGACACAGTGAATGAGCAAAAACAAGGGATGTGTCTATACAGCAGAGGGCTGAACTGAAATGGGGTAAGATCTTTAAAAAATTCAACAATGTTCAGTCAGCCTATCTGGACAGGTTCTTTTGTTGCTGAAATGTTTCGTCCTTCATCCAAAGGACTTCTTTGATCTCAGGAGACACCAAACAAATTGATTCCCACAAACAGCATACTCCACAGTGGACCCAAAAAAACAGTTTACTGGTGCTAAGATGGTTTCTGGGGCCCGCCCTCTCCCCCATCAACTCCTCTGAGACAGTCATGACAAAATGGTTCAAAACACCAAAGCTTATGCTCAATAATACAGGTATAAAATCCAACAATGTCCAGTCAGGTCATTTGGACGGTTTATTCTTTTGCCGAGTCGTTTCATCCTTCATCCAAAGGACTTATTTTATCTGAGGGGCCACCTCAGGAGCCACCCAGAGGCCATCTTAGCACCAGCAAACTGTTTTTTTTTCCCCACTATGAAGTATGCTGTTATGTGAAAATCAGTTTGTTTGGTGTTTCTTCAGATTGAAGAAGTCCTTTGGATGAAGGACGAAACGTCTCAGCAAAAAAAGAAGCCGCTCAGATGACCTGACGGAACATTGTTGGGTTTTTACCTGGATAACTGAGCATGAACTTTGGTATCTTTAAAAGATTTGATCCAGTAAGTTTCACTTCTTGGATTAGTTTTAAAGCCCCAGCATGGATGCCTCACACAGCAGAAGGACTACATCTTTGTGGCGTATTTGAAATTACTGTACCTCCTACTGCCTTGGCAACATTTCATCTCTATCTCAACGTAATGTAGATGTTTTATGATCATGAGTCATCCAGCTCTTTGTGAGCATCTCCCATTTTTGTCTATATGGAGAGAGAAATAGTTTATCTCACTCTGTGTGGGTGATGTTCCTCCAGCGAGACTTGGTGGGTTTTGGAGGGGGAGCCACTTGACTCTCCCCCGACATGAACATGTCTGGGGGCAGTTTGATGTTCTGGTAGTCTTTGGCCAGGGTGAGGAGGGGGTAGCGGCTCGGGTGGCACTCTGGCAGGGACAACCGCATGTCTGTATCTTCCGCCTGAAGACAGAGCACAAACATGTGTACGCCTCCATCTGTATGCAGAGTTCAGTCACTGTTGAAACAGCTCAATCTAAAAAGTCTGTAGCTACACAAAAATATCCAGTGAGTTCAATTAATGTTCTGCAGGGATAAAAAAAAAAAAAAAAGCCTGCTTTCATAGAAAATGGGCACTTTATTCTTGGACCGACACACGTTCGCTTCAGGCAGGACTCACCTTCAAGCTGAAGCGGGTATGGCAGGTGGTGGGAACGAACTCATTGAAAGGCAGAGTGAAGTCTATATTGAGTGTCTCACCACAGGCTGCCAGGTACACTGTAGACAATCAATGATGCAATCGATTAGTCCTCCTGCTTCAAGATTAAAGGAGTGCACATGTACTGTACAGCACATCATGTCTTAATAAAGGTAAAGTCATCTGTAAGAGAGAGCCGCTTCCAGACTTTAAAGTATTGACAGCTCTCCCAACATGACATGTGGACACATCCAGAACAACACAATCAATAAATTGAATTTTTTTTACATCGAACAACTGAAAAAACACTTTGGTTTACCAATTTATGAAAACAAAAAAAATTGTTTTTCATTCAACGTTAGTGTCTTAAAAATACAACGTCATAAAAATGACAATTTGCTTCAGTGAACGTTTTGGGATGAGAATTAATTTAAAAAAAATTAAGAATATTTTTATAAAATGATAAAAATAATTGTATAGTTTAAATATTGTGCCAAAACCCAATGCTTTCATTGACAACCTATATGTACATCTCCAACTGTAACGTTCTAATCTTCTGCTAAATCTGTAATGATGGTGGTTTATTAGTTTGAGTGTTTACAAAAAAATATCTTTATAATATAAAAGTGGCAGCAGGTGATCAAACCGTTAAACAAAAATATCAGGCAGACACAGTTTAGGCACAAATTATTAAATGTATTTCATCTGTGGATTATTTAAGAATTAGGTATGTAGAACATTCTCAAACTCTATATTTTGCTAATAATTGATCTGATCAGAGACCATTTTAATTGAATATTTATCTTTTAAAGACTGAACTTATGGGATCATAACTAGGTTTTAGAAAATAACTGACAACTGAAATTTCCACACATAATCAAGGGTAGCTGATCAAGTGATCTTTTTACAGTCACTTATGTGTTCGCTCAAAGTATTTTTGCAAAGCATTATGGTCTAGCTTTTGCTTTCTTCCAGTTATTCGAAATATAATTAGTGCAAACAGTGTTCATATCTCCCGATGCTTCAGCTGTGCTCTGCCGTCATTCCAACACCTGGCAACACAGCACATCGCTATCCTAACTTAATAAAACTCATTTAAAAATATGTTTGTATATAAAAGTTAATATAAAAGCAGGTGTAAGGGACCAAAACAATAGTCTAACACTAGCCAGAAATAGTGTGTGGTGCCAGACTTTACATGTGTGCATTAGTAACTGTAAAATGGTCAGTAGAGCAGGTGGAGCAGCTGCTCCCCCATTTTCAAAAGTGGAGTGCAAACTCTTGCTTCCCCACCCCCTTTTCAACCAAAAACGTTATCATTACCAGCAATAGGGCAAAATAAAGTAGTTTATTCATCCTAATGTTACGTTCTTGGTTACAAACTAAAAGAAAAAGAGCATTAAACATAATCACTACATTTTACTCCCCCCTCCCTAAGCTTTCAGTTGGTTTAGTCCAACTCAGGTAGTCGCTAGCTCACTAGCCAGACAGCCTTCAGCTGTGATGTTAAAAAGCTAGCTTTCTTTTTAAAGTGTTAAAATGTGCTACATCTTTTTCTCACTATACATCAGATTAAAAAAGTGTAAATATTTTGAGTGATATCACACTAGGAGTGCAAGATATACATGGGTTCATAAACAGAAAAAAATAACATCATCTCCTGCATGAAATCAATCTGCAATATTATATATTACCAGGTGCCCATGCACATAATGATCAGAAGTATTCTTCTTCAACAAATATTTTAGATTAAAAGTAAAAAATACTTAATCTAACAATACTGTAGTCCCCAAAATACTGGTTAGTCTGGTTAGTCAATGTTTTTGTGTACCAGAGGATCCATCTCACCATTCTCCTGCTGCTTGGTGGAGCAATCGATCCAGTTGTGCTGGTTTGCTGCCCAGATCATCTCAAACTGATGGAATAAGATCTTGAACTTCCAGGAATAGGGCACAAAGGAGTAGATATCAGGGGCACTGTCACTTGCCCAGTCCTTTATTAAATCTATAAAGACAGAAGGAGCAGGAAAATGTTTAAATCACTAACATCAATGCTAAGATCTTGATATCTTTATCAGTATTGTACAGATATTATTTCATTTTTTTTAGGATTGCTTTCCTCACCAGTGAAGAAATTTTTCTGAGCATAGATGAAATGGTACGTGGCCTTGTACACCTCGATCTCACACTGCCACGACTGGGGCATGTTCCACACCTGGGGGTAGCTCGCTATCACGTGGAACTAAGCCAAGACAGAAACACACTTTCCCTGTCAGAAGGACATTGAATTTGTCAAAAAGAAATTCCATCCTCCTGCTACTCACAGCTAACATCTCAGCCTCCAGAAGAGTCCTGTACTGCATGCTGCTGGTGGTGTCCACATGAAGCAGCTGACCTTTAATGGTGGTGGAGTAACCTGAGGTCACAAAAAGCAGAAAGATTGAAAAAAAATAAAACTAAACTAAAACCTACAACTAAAGTTCATGAAAACAGTTTATTTTTCAGACAAAAATATGAAACTTCACTGCATCTCTGAGGACAGAGTACTGACTAACCGAATGCTACCTCCTCCGCGTGATAAATCATTGCAGAAATCTCTAAAAGTGTTTGTGAAACCACTGTCGTCTTTACATTTTTTTCATTTGAGATGGTTCAAAGTGATCTTTACAATAAAGTGAGCCAACATAGAGAGGAAGATGCTTGGTACTTCTGTGAGTTCCTGTGAAGTAAAACCTCATTGCAGTTTGCAGAATACAATCTTTGTTTGCTTTAAGAGCCCATAAAGACAAATAAAATGCTTCCTCTGCTTTATGGGCATGCAGTACTTTAAGTTTATTCTCCGTATTGTTTAACTGCAGCTTCATACCAGTTTTGTCTCTTCTGTCTTGCTAATAGAATAACTAGGTTTTGAGAGCTGGTTGGTTGCTTGTGAAATGATGAGTAACAGTTTCCTGAAGCTCTGAGCTGCTGGATCATTGACTGGCAGCTTAGCTGAGGCTAAATAAAATGAGTGTGAAAGTGCAGTGATGTGGGCAGGCTATTAAGAGTTACAAGCTCTGAGAAAAATGGTGTAAAAAAGGGCTGACAAGAAAAATATGCATTCCTATTATTTTTATTTTCTTTTGAAAACAGAAGTGGACAAACTGAGGCAAAAAAAAAAATGCAAGTATAATTAGTATCAGTCAAGTGGTTTTGTGGCTTTTGATATTATAGTGAATAAACTTGTGAGTAGAACAAAACCCTCTGTGTGGAGCAGAGAGCTGCCATCTAGGATGCCCAGAGGAGAAGATGGTGGGGGTTAAGGGCCTTGCTCAAGGGTCCAGAATGGGGCAAATGAGGGTGGAGGCAGGTGTGGGTGTTTCACCTTTCACACCCACATTTTGATGCTATCGGTACGGGGAGTTGAACCGGCAACCTTCCGATCACAGGCTTCTCCAACCTCTGCGCCACCACTCCCTTTTCACTTAAATATTGTGGAGTGTTTCAATTAAACATTTCTGCAATCTCAAAAATTCTTGAAGCTAACAATGCTAACAAAAATTAGCCTCAAGGCTTTTATTATTGCTTTTTTTTTTTTTAATTATAATATTAATGCACATGGAATGTGGTACATAAATAAAAACCTAAATCTAACAAGCTGCATAACTCATCTGCAGATGAACAAAAAAATGGGTACTTTTTCATATATTTGGTTGATTGGCTTTTGATAAAAAAAAAATTAAATTACGTTGGCAGTAGAGCACAATAAAAGCCAATGTCTCGAGTTTAAATAAAGTAAACTGGAGGCAGACATTTGCTGATTATAGAGCTGACATTTTTACTCTAATCATCTTACTGTGAAACACACTTACCGTCTTCTCCCACAGTCATGGGGATGTTGACTTCCAGGTAAGAGCCTGCTCCTACATTCACATGGATGGCATTGGTTTCCTAGTAACAGCGATGAAGATGGAGCAAGAGAGAGAACGCAAACACTCATAAAATATAAGATGATTAGAGATGGAGTTACAACCTAAAAATAAAAGATT